GCCTGTCTGAACTCATCATGCTTCGGCCACTGATCAACCGCACCAGGATCACTGGGCTTTTGGACTGTGGAGCCACCCGGAACTCCATATCTCCCAGTGTAGTCAAAAAACTGCATCTGGGTATGAAAGTTCAGCAACTGCAGCAGTCGCTGCAGGTGCGGATTGGTGACTCTACAGTGATCAGCATCAGGGAGAAAGTCAAAGGCATTCCTGTGACCTTTGACACTGCTGGGAAAGTCAGACACAGTCTGAACTTTTATGTCTTCCCTGAGCTGCCCTTTGAGTTGGTGTTCTCCATGCAGTGGTTGAGGGCTATCAACCCTAGGATCGACAGGCAGATTCCTAGAGTTGAGCTATCAGACCGCCAGGGTGTGTATCAGCAGTGCATGATTGCTGTTGAACATCACCCTAAGACCTCCTGCTACTGCCTGAGAGCGAGGGAGTTCCATGCTCTCTCTCGCCAGTACCACCATGAGCGTTTGTTCATTGCTTTGGTCAAGCAAACAGATGTTCCCCCTGTTTCCTGTCCTCCTGAGATACAGCAGGTAATGGATCAGTATGTTGATCTGGTGCAGGAGCCCTTTGGGTTACCCAACCGACCAACCAAGCATCACATCGAGCTGCTGCCTGGAGCGGTCCCTCCTAAGTGTCGCGTCTACAGGATGTCCCCTGCTGAGCTCGAGGAGCTCAGAAAGCAGCTTGAGACCCTGACCAGCAAGGGCTGGATAAGACCCAACACATCTGAGTTCGGTGCACCTGTTCTCTTTGTACCCAAAGGAAATGGCGAGTTCAGGATGTGCATTGACTACAGGGGCCTCAACAAGATCACTAGGAAGAGTATTAAGCCACTTCCTAGGATCGATGACCTCCTGGATATGGTGCAGGGATGCACAGTGTTCAGCAAAGTCGACCTCAAGTCTGGCTACCACCAGATTGAGATGGCAGAGGAGGATGTCTACAAGACAACCTTCAAGACCAGGTATGGGATTTACGAGTTCCTAGTCACGCCATTTGGACTTTGCAATGCCCCAGGCACATTCCAGACAGAGATGCACCGCATCTTCAGGCCTTACCTGGACAAGTTTATGGTTGTCTACCTGGATGATATCCTGGTATTCATCAAAACTGCCAGGGAACATGCGGAGCACTTGGCTCTAGTTCTTCAGTCGTTACGCAACAGCCAGTACAAGATCAACAGAGAGAAGTCCTCTTTTGGAGTTCCCTCTGTCATCTATCTGGGTAACGTAATCTCTAGAGATGGCCTGGCTCCTGAAGCAGCCAAGATTGCTGCTATTCAGGAGTGGCCCCAGCCACAGACAGTGAGGGATGTCCGGTCCTTCATGGGTTTGGCCTCCTACTACAGAAAGTTTGTCAGGAACTTTTCTGCAGTGGCCGCACCCCTGACCAACCTAACAAAGAAGGACACTCCCTTTCTTTGGTCCCTCCACTGTCAACTGGCCTTCACACGACTCAAGAAGGCCTTGACTCGTGCGCCTGTCCTGAAGTTACCTGACCCCACTTTGCCATTTATCCTGACCACTTACGCCAGTCAGTATGGCATTGGGGCAGTACTTCAGCAGGATGATGGGAATGGTCTACGGCCTGTAGAGTTTATGAGTAAGAAGATCAAGACTCAAAAGCTCCAGGACTCTACCTACGAGAAAGAGCTGTATGCTCTTGTCTGTGCCCTGAAACATTGGAAGCACTTTCTACTGGGCAGGCACTTCAAGATCTTTTCAGATCACTCCACCCTACAGTGGATGAAGTCCCAAGGAGAGTTGAACGATAAACTGGCACGGTACATTCAGTTCATAGACATGTTTGACTTTGAACTGAAACACAAGAAGGGCTGCTACAACAAAGTGGCAGATGCCCTCTCGCGTAGGCCTGACTCTTTTGCTCCGATCTCCTCTACGCGCTCCTTTGGAGAGGAGACTCGTCAGACCATTGCTCGTCTACTGCCTCAAGACGTCCCTACCGGTTACACTGGGGACGTGAACCGCGCCAGCCTCTCGATGATATCATCGACAAGGCTAAGCCTGATCTGACGCCAGGCACCGCAGAGTTCGCCAGACGCTATCGTCTGGATGTGGAAAGAGCCCGCTTGTTCACAGGCCCAAAAGGCCAAAAAGGCCATGATTGAACAAGCCAATCGCCACAGGCGGCCTTCCCCCATCCGTACTGGTGATCATGTCTGCGTGGCCAGTTCTGAGCTGTCGAGGGAGGAGGATATCTCCCCGAAGCTGCTGCCACGCTACTTGGGTCCGTGGCAGGTCTTAGATACAGTGGGCACTGACCCTTTCGGCCCGTCGTATGTTATCGACGTCCCGCTGTATCTACGCACCTATCCGGTCTTCCATGCATCCAAGCTGCTGCCTTTCACGCCTGCTGATGCATTCCCTGACCGGCCCCCTCAATGGGGCCCACAATCCCTGGTAAGGGATATGATGTGGTGGCCATTGAGGATGAGTAGGGCACAGGCCCCAACCGGCAGTATCTTGTCAGGTTCGCTTTCCAGCACCCTTCTGAGAACCGGTGGTTCTACAGAAGAGACCTGATCAAGACAGCAAAGTCTGTTGTACTGCGCTATGAGGCGGCTCAGAAGGGTGACCTTCGCCGTTCGCCTCGTCTGCACCCCTAGCTCGGAGGTCCTCTCTCCCGGGGAGGGTAAGCCTGCAATGACTTGCTGATTTCTGCTGCCGAAATTAGCAGCGAGGCTGTACACTAACTCGATAGGTTAGATTCGTAATTTTGTTTGGCTGAGGGCTAACCGAGAGACCTGCCTGTAGGGAAATTCTTGAGGGACAGATCTGTAAATCTGGGAAAATATAGGCCCTGTACTAACCTGAATTCCTACAGCTACCCTAACTGCTGATAGCAGGGCCAGGCTACCCCTAGGACAGACAGGCCCTAAGCGGCGTATGCTGCTAGACGGTCCTATAGCCTATAGCCGGGTCTGGTAGAGGCCGAGAGGCCAAAACAGCAACGGTACCGGTCGGTCAGTCAGTCCGGTCTAAGTCCTAGTAGTCTATAGATAGGTTAGGCCCATCGGTTCATGACTTTTGGCGGTTCATTTCTCGCGAGCAGCGTTGGAGAAGCCAAGGAAGTTGGTGGCGGTACCGGTCTACAGGCGGCATCCTGAGACAGTCCGCAACAGCAGCCATAGCCGGCCCTTACTGAGTCTGCCATAGCTGGGGCACCCTCAGCGCATCTACCCCTGGGGGTATCTGTGTCTGGCCGGGCTACTTCGAGGCTCTACACTGAGTGGTTCGTGGGTGGTGGCAGCCATAGCTGCCTGTTCCTTCGTCA